AGTTTGGGCAGACAGACAGATGATACTGTTTGTTGGCCAGTAATTGTGTACGGAACTGGCCAGCCGGTAATGAGTTGGTTTTTTTTGGGTGCTATAATGAATAAATAGGCAACATTGGTGCAAACCCTTGATGATGTCTTTGCCAAATGTAGCATAAACTTTCTGATTGAGTCAGTACTGTAGAGCAGCTGATGTTAGTCTGCTTTTACCATCCAGCAAATACATTTGTAAATGTCTTCGAAGCCAAATTAAGATACAGCTACTGGCGCCAGTCGTTGCTTCTTCTTCTTCTTCTTCTTCTTGTTCTCTTCTACTGCGGACAAGTTGCCTTATAATTGCTCCAAATGCCTTAGCTTATAATTACAGTAGTTTGTTTGCTGTCTGCTGTCGACTGTCTACTGGCTTTTTGTTGTTGTTGGCGAGAAACTTTCTGCGGCAAACTCAAACAAACGGCAAAGGGGCAAGTGCTCTGTCTCTGTGTCTGGTTACCATTTAATTATGGCTGCCTTTTGTTTTGATTCGCTTGTGTAATGTCAGCTTAAATATGAGACACACATAAGCGGATTTTCCACAAAGGGTAGCAATGACATAAACAATCCACCCACACTCCCAATGCAAAACACTTGAATTGCTGATAGTTTTATGTTTGTAGCCGACAACGGCGCCAACGAGTTGCGTTGGGGGGGTTGGGTGAAGGCAACACTCTTCCAAATTTGTGAACAATAGACGGCCGCGTGGCACTTTGCGGGTCCAAAAACTGCAACTGTAACTGGTTTGCCAGCGGCGCTCATCTAAGTATGCCTCTACGGGACCAACCCGGTCCCAATTGACTGGCGTTACTGACTGGACGAGCGTACGCCCACAGTATAAACAACTCAATTTGAATGCATTTAACCGCGTAATTGACGCACGTGTGGCAAGCTACGCGTGCGCTATTTGTGGCTAAAGTAACCCGGGGCGCTAACCCCCCCCGTCCACCCCCCACTCCTACTCCGTCAAACTCGTGGCAACCCTCTGCTGCTGTTAAGCACGGCAAATTGCAAACCAATTGGCATGCAACTGGTCGGTCCACAGGCTGCACAGAAATTAGTGCGTAAATGTTTTCTCACCAAATAAAAAGGCAGCCTCCCATTGTCGGAGCACAGTTTGGCTTTGTGCCCCATTTCGCTGCGCTTGCCGGCGAATTAACTGCGAATTAGTTGGGCAGACGACGAGTCACGGACACGCGTTTAATTTACGTTGAATTCGCAATGCTTTTCACGGCCGCTTGTTTGGGCCTGCCACTTGACAGGTAGAGCTGGCCCAGGCCCAGCTAAACGATGATGATGAATTACGGGGTGTTGCACAGCGGCTGCTTAGCCTCGTGTCGCTTAGCGGAAAAAAGCTAATGGGGCTAAATGTTATTCCAATTGCCCTCTAAAGTGTGCTACGGAAATGGAAGAAGTGATCTCTTCGCTGTAGTAGCTGGTTTCCATTCTTCGTTTCGTTTGATGCGTCTCTCTGCTTTTATTGAGCTTACCACTTGCTCTCAGTTAATTGACCATTAAAATATTAAATGTTATTTGCTGCAACAAAGGCAGTTTACAGTTTTATTGCCCATTTCAAATACTAATAGCAATTGTGTGGCAGCAGCAAACCAAAAAGTGTTACATTGGAGTTCTTTTTGTCAGCTTCAATATTACATGAGCACAAATTGCAATTTAATCCACAGATGTCAGTATTGCGATCAGTGCCTGCCTGCCTGGTTGCCTGCCTGCCTGCCTGCCGGGTTGCCAGCCACAACCCTAGCCCTTGTTTGGGAATTGCACGTGACAAGCTCAACCGAAAACTCAACCCCTCAATCTCAGTCTCTGCCGGAGTATCATACTCGTTCTCATTCCTGTATACACTCAGAAAAAAACTCAGTGACAGTTAAAACATTTCTATATTTTTAGCAAAGGCAGACGACTTTATTTTTCACCAAGTGAATTTCTAATACGAATTTTTTCTCAGTGTAGTAGCTGCCTGCTGAGCGTCCCACACGCGTGTCAAGTTGAAAAATGGTATTAAAGTCACATTGACAATCATCAAAATGTGATTCGCTTGCAAAACAACAATGGTAGCTCAGCCACCCCGCTGCAGTCGCCGTTTCAGTTAGACTCAAGACACATGTGGCATGCCCATCCAGCAGCGCTCCCCGGTGACACTTTAGCGTATGTCCTGCCTCCGCCGCGCTGCTCTTCATCAAATGCGCTGCGCAAATCTGTCATATAGCCTGGCCAAAGTGCCTCTTGGGAGCTTGTTTATGTCAAGCGACGGTCATAATTTATATGGCCGCACATATGCAAGCATTTTGCAAATGTAGGCGTAGGTGGGCGTGGCAAGCAAGTAAACTTTTAATTGCCGCCCAAGATGCGCAGCCACAAATAGCAAACTAAATGAACTAAACTAAGTCGCACGCTGATCTACCACTCCCAATTAGACAACTCGCTTGCCATGCGAGCCGTTCAACCCCCCTCCCCCGGCTCCCTCCTGTTTATCAATTTATCAGCCCGCCGCCTGACGTCTCTCTGGCATCACGGACGTGCAGTCAGTCAGTCGCGAAATTGTCGCCAGCGTTGTCGTCTCAGCGCGGCAATCCAAATTCAATTAAACAAACACAATAAGTTTCGATAAAGCTCCACTGATAAGCACAGCAAACTAAATATTCGCATAAAATGTACTGCATTCATACTACACACACAGAGAGAGCGAGAGAGAGAGAGGGAGATATGGAGGGGATGGAGAGGGGAGTGAGCGGGCATGACTGAGACTGGGTGTGACAAAACTTGTATGAGGGGCGGTCTGTAGAAAAGTCAATGGTGCAGATTAAATGTTGCTACACACACACACTGCTCACACACACAGACACACACAAACAGACACACACACACACACAAACAGACACACACACACACACACAGACACACACACACTCAAAATGAAGTATGCGTAATCTGCAGCAATTCAGGCGCAAAAAAAGGTTCTCGTAAAATACGTAAACACAAAAAGAAAGATACACAAAGCAGCAGAAGACGAAAACAAATTGGAATCTAAAATAAGTCGCATAAAATAAAATTCAAAGTAGTTTGGGCAAAAGACCCAGCCAAAAAAAAAAAAAAAATGAAAAACAAAATAAAAACACTCCGACAGAGAAACGGAGACAAGCTCGAGCAAAACAACTTAATTGCGTGAGTGTCGCGTTTTGATTCTGCAACTGGAAGGGGCAACTGTCATGCTGCCACAGCTACCCATTGCTGTTGTTGTTCTCGTTGTTGTTGTTCTTGTTGCCTTTGGTGGTGGTGCGAAATGCTTAAAATGGGATTTGCTTAACTCGTATTATGCTTCGCATTGGAAAGCAATTGTCTTGGATTTGCGTCGCCCAGGATATGGGCAAGGCTTTAGCTATGGGAATGGGTGAGAGTAAGGGTATTACTTTAAGTGGGCAGGCGTCTCGATAATTTATCGTTTCAATGATTTGTCTGTGAATGAGAAGATGTTTTTGTGCGTGTGCCAGACAAATTACAATAAATTGTATTTAGCGGCCTATCGAAGGGTGTTTCAAGTGCACTGCTAATGATCAGATATCAAAATTTAAGTGATGAATTTAATGCTAGGTTCTAGTTGCACTATAAATGCATATGTGCAACTAAAATCAACACTTAATTATATGCAAATTCGAACTTGCTTCATAGCACTCGCATTTTAGAGAATTTAGTGCGAAATTCGCTGGCATGTCTGCAGCTGAATAATTTAGTGGCTTACATTTACAGAAATTAACGCATACACACACACACACACACACACACACACACACACACACACATACACACGGACACAAAATACACACACGACAGCGAGTTCATGCATAATATGCATATTTGGGTGTGCATCAAATGGGATTTGTGCGACTAATTGCAAAGTACTTAAGCAAAGCTTAAAACAAATGTAAAAGCAAATTTTTAATATATTATTTATGCAAATGTCCCTGCTGCTAGCTAGCAAGAAAAAAAAAAGCCAAGGAACATCCTTTGCTTTTGGGCGTGGCAAATGCAATGAAATGTGCGAAATTTCGCTTCGAATACGCAGCGCGTGTCGCGTGGCTTTTCACACAGAGCTCAACGTTAACTGGGGAGGCGGTGGCGTAATAGATATAAAAGGATTTCCGCCGTATCCTTGCTCGGTGACTCTGTTTGTTTGTTTGTTAACGCGTCGCTGTCAACGGCACTCATAGTCAATCCGCATCCGAATCGGCATTGGCCATCCGGCTCAGTTGCTGCAACTGGAGCTGGCCATGCGTGGATTTCTGTTTCAATTATGCTGTCCACCAATAGCGGGAACAATGCCAAGGAGCACAGCTCGCCCGCTTGGATTGCCAGTGAGTGAGTAGTTATTATAATATCAATGGGCCCGAGGTGTGTGCCCGTGAATTTATTCATTTGCTTGTCTCTGTTTTGACAACTTCGCCCCGACTTTATGCTTCGGCATTGTATCACACAAATCGGATTAAGAAATTTCGTATTCGTTTGCCACATAATTGAATAGCTGTGAGTGTGTGAGTGTTTGAGTGCTACACGCAGCAAATGAGAAGCAAATTTAAAATTTTACACTTGACTTAGCATTGTTGTCCTGTCATTTCACACGCCTGCCAGAGAGTCCTTCCAGCCTGCCACTCTGTCTGTCTGCCCCGTTTATCTGTGTGCGTCACAGCGATAAATTGTTTTTTGGCCCTCTCCTCATACAAACGCATTTAAATACCACAATCTCTGTTTTAAATGTGTATACATATATATATATTTTTTTTTCATTTTGTTAATATTTAAAATGTTTATTTCTTTTCATTTTATATGGATGACATTTTTGGTTTGGGTTTTTGACTTTTGATTTTGCTTCCACTTAAGTGCTAAAAATAGTTACATACTCATAAGTACTTAGCTATAAAATAATTACATACTCATAAGTGTTTAGTTATATAATGCTAGATATGTCGAATTTGACTTTGCAACATCTTTGGGCTTCGTTAGCTGTAATAAATTTAAGCGCTACAATATCATATCAATTAAGTACTATTTGTACAATAACTATATACAGGCGAAACTATAAAACACATTTAAAGCGATTCGTATTTACAATGCATCGGCCTCCGGCCCCAGTCGTGCCTCTGTTCCAGCGGCCTTGGCACGTTTCTCGAAGAGTTGCAACAAACGCTGTTGCATCTTGCAATTTTATGAATGCGAGTGACTCAAGTGATGTGCGCCCAGGGGATGAAAGTAGGGTCCGTAGGGTGGGTACGGGACGGCGTGCGGGTAGAGCAGGCTGCTAGCATAGGCGCCCGGACCAAACGAACCGCCCGCGGGTGGCAGTGTCGGACTGTTTACATCCATGCCAGGATTTTGCTTTTTCCACTTGGTACGTCGATTCTGGAACCAGATCTTCACCTGCCACACATACACAGAATCTTAGCAGCGTTATGGGCAAGATTTTGTTAAAATTAATTGTTACCTGTGTCTCTGTCAGGCTGAGACTGAGCGCCAAATTTAAACGCTCGCAAACGCTCAAATAGCGCGTCGTCTTGAACTTGTTCTCCAGCGAGACCAGCTGCTCGTAGGTGAAGGCGGTACGAGCGCGTCGCGGTTTGGAGCCACCACCACCGCCTCCGCCACCGGACTTGCCATCGCCATTGCGACTGCCGCCCTTTTTGGAGTCCGTTTCGCTGCTGGGATCGTCGATGTCGCTGCCATCGTCACACATATCGTCCTGATCCATGTCATTGAGATCCTGGGCTGCAAAGAGGAGAGCAATCGATATAAGCAAGATAGTTTTTTTTTGCTTTTTGCATAAGCCGAACAGCATCATCATCAATCAAGTGAATGGTAATACCCGAAGGGCCAGTGACAGATTTGTAAGTCGAAATCAATCACCTCGCATCGGTCGCAACATTGGCAGTTAATTGGAATCTTGGGCACATGTTGGCGCACATGTGAATAGGGGCCGAAATCGTTGGGAATGGCCAACAACAACAAGAACAACAACAACTGCGGAATTGATTGCAATGATGCGGCAATCAAAATTCAATTAACGCACCCACTGTCCACCCAGTCAGCCACCCAGACAGTCAGTCAGTCAGTCAACTACAATTGTGACCATTGTCCAATGTCCGGCACATGGCACATATTGATTACCCCAGTTGCGTTGGCTGTACCGGTTATATATTTGGTCATATGATTGTGTCATCTTATGCAGGCCATCTTGATGTAATCGATAGCGATAACTAATTGTGCTGTAAGCGTAAGTAAATTATGACGATTTTCTCTTTCCATTTTGACGAAGAATCACCAAAACTCAGGAAGCTTGTCTGGGTATAATCAAACAAAGACAAACAAATCCTTTCGCTGTAAAATGCATGTAACTGGTAATTGATCAACATGATTGGTCATGTTTGCATGTAATTAGCCTGGCCGTGGCTGGCTAAAAGTGCGTCACAGACAGCGGACCAATTAAACAGAAAATTAACGTGAACGCTTCATTTAATATTTAACGATTTTACTGGCCGCCGTGGAGTGTCCTTTCAAATGCAAATGCAAACTCGCCAGTCGCCTGTCGCACTGGTAATTGGCTGTGGAGTGTTTGCAGCCACTTTGATATGCATTGATGGCACATTAGATGCCCGAATATATCTCATCAATACCAATTGACTGGTTCCGACGACTGCTCCTGACCACAATTGGTTTGAGTCAATTGAATTAACAGCCCGGAACTCCACCAGACGTTTAATGCGTTGGCAAACAATCGCGAAAAAGTCGAAAGGTTCGCAGACAGCACGGGTGCGGGTGCTTGTGCGGGTGCAGGTGGGGCATAGGGGGATGGATCGAGTATGGAGTATTGTGTGCTATCCTAAAAGGGTGTGTTTGCACCCTATAAATAGCCAGCCGCAACCGCAGCTGGTTAATAAGCGCTGCAGCTACAAACTGCAATCGGTGGATACGGCAACTGAGGTGGTGGCAAATCTGTTTAATTACCGCAACTAACCATCTATGCAGTGCAACGTAGCGTATGCGTGTTGTCTGGCAGCCAAAACAGGTAGATGGATAGTTTGGGGAACGAAGCTTTTCAATATTTGCGACTAATTCAAGGTTTGTTAAATATAAAACGAAAATATTATGGCTAATGTATGCGGTAAGTAATGCAGTGGAAATTATTTTGGGACAAATTTTTTGGAGCACATAGCAAAAAAAAAAAAGAAGGGAACTTTCATCCTTGCAACTTTGAACAAGTATTTTGCATACACTGCGTGAATTATTAGTAATTATAAGTACACGCATATAACAACTTTTTTCAATAGTTTTTGAAAACTAGAGAACAAATTTTTACTTTACTCTTGCAACCGTGGAGAATCTTCTTTGCATACACTGCCTGAATAACTAATTAACACAAACCAATTTTCACAGTGATTCTTGAAAATGAGTTAGAAGTCAAGCGGATGCCAAGTCAAAAAGTTTCGAACAGTTCTAATTCCCTACATATTCTGCTAAGAAGGAATCTTTTGTACAAGTTTCAGCTTAACTGACTAGCTACCATTCAGTTAATAACTTAGAATAAACTCAAGATTGTTCATGAATCAGTTACTTGAAATTGTATATTGCATAAATGATTTCAGTGTTAACGTTATAGAGAAATTAATATAACCAAAAACTATAAGTATTATATCCTGTATACTCAGCCCCAACCGGCTACTATATGCGAAAAAGGGTGCGACTTTTTTCCGACTCCTCGTTTTATCGGAATAGCAATGGCATATAGAGCTCTCCGTTTCTTATCAGTTGCATACCAGTTGTTAAATAACTGCAGTTAATTATAATTACGCCAAAAGCACTTCATAAGCAATTTTGATGATATGGCTCGTCGAAGATAAAGGGACGTTTATGAAAGCGCAAAGGCACAGACAAGGCTCAATTATCAACACACACAAGTGTAAATATATACACACAACACACACAACACACACACACACACACAGACATGCATACACTCGCACTCACGAGCGGCTCGATGGTGCAATTTAAAAGCCAAACTCGGCAACCCCTCGAGTCCAACAACAATTTAAATTAAAGCGCAAGCGAGACAGGCAGAAAGTATAACACAAAAGAAGCCAAAAACTATCTCCATCGAGCCGAAGCATAAATACTCTAATAAATACATTTATGGAAAACGACAAGAAAGGGACTCTATGATAAATAAATTATACTAGAATATAAATGGAATGTAATTATCTAAGATAAACTGACGTTTATTGCTTTTGTTATACGTTACTAACATTATGGTTGAGCTAATATATTCTTAGTAAAGGTATATGCCGCAACATACATGACAACGTACAATTTGAAGACATAAACGTAATTATGAAATCCGAGTGTTAATTACCACAGCCATCGCATAATTTACCGACACACACACACACACACACAGAGACACAAGCATGCATATACTTGTTGGGGAGATTTTACAAAATAGCTTTTAAATTTGGGTTCTGCATGGGGCTCCATTGTCGCAATCATTATAATCGCATACGCCTGGCCAATGCGACCCCTGGGAGCATTTGTCGTCTCATTTTGCCATTTTCATAAAATAATAAATGAGTTGCTGATGACGGACATAAAAAGAAGCCGAGGCGAGTCAACGAAAATTGTCGCTTAACTTTACAGAATTTACAAACACGCACACAACTCTGCACAAGGCTCCCCAGAGCACCAGCAGCTGGACCAGGAAAGCATAGCACACCAATACATGAATACAAAGTATGCTATATACACATGCATTGCCATTTGCGTGGGTGCGAGCGAGAGCGCTAGAGTGAGCGCCAAATTGAGTGCTGAAAAGAATAAAAGTTTTCGCAGCCATTTTACTTTTTTTTAGGGGTTGGTTGCCAGCAGTTTCGTTTGCTCCCTGCTTGCTGGCGCTGGCCACCCACATTTAAATGTTGCCACATAACCATTTTATTCGACCCAACCCGAAAGCAACGGCTGCATCATCCTCACCCCCTCTCCCTCTCTCTCTCTCTCTCTCTCTCTTATTTCAACTATGCTCAGTGCGCCCACTTAGTTATCGCATGTTTTTTCATATGACTTTTGGGGCGCATTTCTGTTGCGGGCAAAGTATTATGCCGGATAGGCAAATGCATGTAGCAAGCTTCTACTACTTACTTACTACTACTATTATCTATGTTGCTTTTATTTTTTGCGCTACCCCATCAGACATTGTTTGGATATACATCTGCATATATGTATATTTAAATGTATGTGTTTTGTTTTGCGGCTTTCAGCGCTGCTTTTAGTGCATTTGGTCGTTGTGTGCTTGTGGCTCAGTTTTGTTTTGCATTTTAAATGAAATGCAAATTGCTGTGCGCCCAGCGACCAGTCTAAAATGAATGGCGCCTCAGAGAGTTGCTAGCTGACAATCTGACAAATGCAGCGTATGCGTAATATTTTTAAAATATTTAACGACCTGTACGCAATGCAATGCATTCAAATCGATCGGATAATGCGAGAAACGTTGAGTGTGGGAAAGTGTCATAAAATCTAATTAGTCACAAAGACAAAAGGCCGCATAATTACGCAAACATAAACTGAAGCGACCAGTAGCAACATTAGCACCTCCCAGGCCATAAAATTAAGTGGCGAAGCGAGGGGCACTCTCAATGTAAATGTGTGTCTGTGTCTGAGTGTGTGTGTGTGTGTATGTGTGCAGGACAGAGCCATTGAAGCGGCTAATGAATGTGCGGTAATTAAGTACCTTGCTAATTAATGACTACAGCATCACCAGGCAACGAGCAGCACAACAACAATCGTTGAATCACTGGCTGCAAACACTGCGTATACGTGATGTGCACAAGTTTGCCGTCTGTATTGCTGTCCGTTTGTTGTAAACTTGGACTGACTGAATTAACTTCCAGCAACAATAACACGAACAATGGCAACAGCAACAACAACAGCAACATCGACATAATCATTGCCAGCATCATTATCCTGGTTGGTCCATCCGTGTCCTGTTTGCCCCTCTGCTGTGTGCTGTGTGGTTGTTGCTGGCGCTTGGGGTCGTTGGCGCGGCCATTCAGTCTGTTTTATTAGCAGTTATGTTCGAGTACTGCGACGCCACAACCAGCAGCAACCACCACCTTCGTGTCCACTTCCAACACCATTGATGAAGTTAATTGTGTTTTATTAACACAAACACAAGTTCACAAACAGCAAACAGTAATGCAAACTGCCAGCAACAACGACAACAAGAGCACAAACAAGCATCAGCAACGGCAACAGCAATGGCCGATAATTTGTTGCTGATAATGATGTTGTTGCCGTTGTTGTTGTGGTCTGCGCCATTTTCACTGTTTATAATTTCGTACATAAGCGCTTACCGAAGTGGCCAATAAAGCGACTGGATGGGCTTGTGTGTGTGAGTGCAACTGGCACTTTCATTCGAACTAAATGAATGTTGCTGATGGATTTCAGTGATAAATGTTGATTAAAGACAAACACACCAGCACTTCCTATGCAGACCAAACTGTAACCAAGCTACCAAAGACAAAAAAGTGATTAACCCATAATTATAAAATGTATGAATTGAAAATTATACATTTGAATAAAAATGGCATATTAAAATCAATAGATTGAGCTCACAATATAATGAAATCGTTTAGAGTAGCACAGTAACACACATTATTTAGTCATAAATCTTTGATAGGTAGTTATTATAAAGATACAAGAATATCTGAAAGTACTACTTTTATCTTTAGAAATGTGACAGAAGGCTTTTATCTTACATCCTAAGATTCAAAACATGTTCATCCTGGTTTTGGATCCTTCTTTGATGAATTCAAAAGACTTTGAATCGTAACCTTTTCCAATACAAGTTGCGAATTTCTGCAAAAGCCTTAACACAATCGCAATTAATTAAAAAAATCCCAATCTAAAATCATTTTATAATCAAATAATAAACAGTTTTTAAGGAATCCGATTTCTCAAATTCAAAACTTAACATTTTGTGTGCTCAGGTCCTACGTGCATAATACATTGCCCCTCCTCACCACATTGTTCCTTCACACCCTGTTAACTTTTCCACCATCGTTTATTTTGGTGCTTTCTAGCAGCTTAGCAGTCCTGCCCAGCTGATGCTTCGTTCCCCCGTCGCCACAGTACTAAGTTCACCACAACAACTTCAATCAAATTTGCAAATTTTTATTTGAGCTATTTCTTTGCAACAAGCCAAGCATGAAAATCAATTAATTTTCAGCAAAATGTTAGCCAACAGCTAGCAAGAAAAAAAGAAGAATACAAAAAAAAATAAAAAACGAGAAAAAAGCAATCGGATCCACGGGCAGCACACAAAAAGCTAGCAAAAAGAAATATCGAAAAATTCCACAGAGCAATTGCTTTTCCCAATTAAAACATCAATCAATCAATTAAAACAAATTCCATGTGAAAATCCCTCTTGAATATGAGTGTAGCCAGCAGTCTAAACAAGTTACGTACCTCACTCGCATTGTTGGCAGCATTTGTTTACCCGCTGAATATACCCAAAATATAAACGCTTTCATAGTCAACACCAACACATACACACATGTGTGTGTGTGTGTATGGGGAAAAGTACGTGACTTGCGCCTGAAAGCAGGCAACATAAAATCTCTGTGCGTTCAAAATGGCAACTACGTTTCACCTCTTGTGTGGGAATGGGGGCTGGGATATGGGCAAAACAACCAGAAACAAAATCGAAATCAAAACATACCAAAATCTGCAGGCGGCAGTTTAAATTCAACCCCACCCACATTCACACACAGACACACAAACAAATGTGGACTACAAAAAAGGCGGTGGAATAAAGTTTGGCAGTTAGGAAGAACAAGTTGGAAGCGAAAATGGTTTTCAATTTTTGCTCTATATAAATAGAGGCACTCACACATATATATTATATAAATATATATATATATATATATATATAATGTATATGTACACATATTTCTATATGTATTTTAAGCTGTGAGCTTGCGCTACCCGTTTCAAATCACGCTAGACGATGTTAGTCTGGTAGTCTTCTAGTTATGTAATGTATGTGTGTTTATGGCATGCTCTGCAGCTACTCACCAGACATATCCTCGCTGTGCTCGTCATCTAGATGCTCGTGCATGTCCTCATCTCTTTCATAGCCCCACGGACGGGAATGTCCAAAGGGTGCGGCTGTTGCTGGCAATTTGTTGCCCGTAAACTTATTGGGGTCCAATATGTTCTCCACGGAGAAGGCCAAGCGTTTGGTGGCCTCTCTATCGCTGGCTCCACTGGTGGATGCAGTGCTCGCATTGTTCGCACTGTTGGGCACCGAACGAGTCAGATCCACGGGACACACCTGTATTTTGGAGACGGGCACAAGTAAGAGCAAATGTAAAGTTTTCTTTTCATCTTATTTTATCTTTTTGCTTAGGATAAAAAGACAAATAGGCAAGGATATCAATTTAAAAATGTATATTTGAAGGAATGAGAGTAGACTTACCGACGGCGTGCTGTGGGAACCGGAGCCATCGTTGCTGTCCTCATCGTTGCCATCGACATTGAGCTCTTCGCTGGTGTCGCTGCGCGCATAATTAGCAGCCGCGATCTGGCGAGAAGTGGCAGCTGCAGCAGCTGCCGCTGCCGCCAATCCGCCCAGCTGTATTCTGAAGCCATAATCGCTCAAATCGCGACCATTGGGCGAGGCGGAGGTGGAGCTGGTAGCGGCCGCGGCGGATGTGCTGGGCGCTTGGCTTTGACTTTGGGTGGAGCGTGCGGCAACCGCTGCTACCAGCTTAATGCGCTCCAAGTCCATGTCATTCGCGGATGTGGGACTGATTCTGCCCATCACTGGATGTGGAACAGCGCCCAAGTGCAGCTGTAGCGACGAGGAAGACATTAACTGTGGAGGTGGTGGCGGTGGCGGCGGCTGTGGAAGCTGTGCTTGCTGCTGCTGCTGTTGTTGCTGTGGCGGTTGCTGCTGTTGCAGGGGTGGGAGCGCGGAATGTGCCGGATTTGCTGGTGCTAAGGGAGATTCCATTTGCGGCTCGGAATGTGTTGTCTTGTTGTTGCCGGTGGCTATAGCTGTGGCTGTGCTAGGTGATGTAGGTGGCGATAGTGGGGAGGTGGCAGGCGAAGGTGGTGCAGTGGTGGTGTTGCTGCTACTCCCATTGGGCAATGCGGCAGGTGCACGCAGATGGAAAACTGCAGCTGCTTGATGATGTGGATGCGACTGTGCAGGATGATGATGATGATGATGCATATGCTGCTGCTGCTGCTGCTGTTGGTGGTGATGCTGTGCGGCAGCGGCTAGAAATTGTGGATTCTGCAGCAAGTGCGGATGCTGTTGCAGTAGCGCTGCATGTGGATGCTGCAGTGGCTCCGGTCGTGCCAAATGACGAACTGCATTCAGTTCAAGTAGCTTGCGTTGCTGCGCTGGCAAGGGAAAGACGCCAAGCCCAACTGGCGGCGATTGGGATCGTCTCGCATTGTTCTTGTTCAAGCTGTTGCTGTTGTTATTGTTATTGATGTTGTTGTTGTTGTTGATCTTCTCCTTGTCGGCCTCGTCGTGGTTGGGACTCAGGCGACTGAGCATGCCAGATTCGCTGGTCATTTGCTTCAAGCGCTCAATGGAATTGCGCAGATCCTGCACCTGCTTGGCCGCCTGTTCACTGGCGCTGATTATGAACTTGGGTATCTTGGCGGGCGGCGGCGCATTGATGCTTGTTGCTGTGTTGATGGCACTGCCGGAAACAGACACAAGTTCGGCGGATATATTGGCCAGCTCGGGCGAGGTGTTAGACTTGGGCGAATCGGGATTCGAGTTGGGACTCATCAGACCGCCGACGGCTGTGGGCTGTGCCCCAATGCTATCGCTTGGCTTTTGCACTGGCGATTGCAGCATCACCATATCGCTGATTGCACTTGTCTCTCTCTCTCTCTCTCTCTCTTTCTCGCTTTCTCGCTCTTTGTGTCACTTTAGAAAGCTGGAGTTCACTTCAATTCACTGCAATTCACTTCAATAATTGACTTTAGATTCACTTGTTCAGTTTAGTTTTGTGTTTGTACCGCGACGTGTTGTTGTCACCTTGATTGCAGCCAATCGACTGTCACTGATGCCGGCGCGTATCGCTCAATATCTGAAGCTGATGCTGATGATTGCTGCTGTTGTTGCTGTTGTTGTTGTTTCGCTTATCGCGTTGCTTTTGAGCATAATCCACGCGCGCGACACTCTGCACGCAGCCAGGGCTGAAACGGAAATGGAAATGGAATCGCTATTGCTCGCCAGAGTTTGAGGGTTGCGCTGCGCCGTCGAGTGAACCGTGAGTAGTGAGTCCAGATGCTGTGAATGCTGCTGGCCCGTGGCAAGTCAACTAAATGGAAAGTGAACAAATCTGTTGCGGCGTCTGTCTTTTTTACAGTTGCTGCGGTGATGCTGATGCTGCTAGTGGTGGTGGCTGTGGTGGTGGTTGCTGCCTTTGAGTGAATCCCAAATACGCTCCTGCTCTTGCTCTCTGCATTGCTCTCAGCTGCTGTTGGTGCACACGCCCCCAGCTGTTAGTTTGAGTGATTTGCGTAATTTGAGTGGCCTGGCTCCTCCTTTTGGTTGTGGATTGTGCTGCGGCAGAAGCTAATCTCTACTAGCATCTAATGATTTAATTTGCCTTGTACTCGTTAGCAGGCGTAATGGTCTGTTCTTGGGTCTTAGCCGCATTGAGCGATTCCCCATCAAGCCAAACAGGCGAGCGGCACGTAATATTATACATTATACACACGCTATCTTGCTCTCTCACGATTCGCTTAACCAACTCACTGGCTCTCTCCTTCTCTTTCACTCGTACGCCGCTTAGCCGCTTTACATAGTTTTTTTTCACTCAGTTGAATTACCACCCATAAATGCGCTCGAGGATGTGAGTAATTGTCAAATTATTTAGCGCAAAATTTGTTTGCTTATGCGCTTCGTTGGCTCCGAAATGGATCTCAGCTTTTTATATTTGAAATGTGTGCTGTTTTATATATGTATATATATATATATATATATATTGTGTGTATATTGTTGTTGCTGTTGCTGTTGTTGCTGCTTTGCTTATGCCTGGTTTGTTCTTAGTCATATATGCATGAACGCTTTATGCTCTTGTGGCTGGCAACGGGCAACAAAAGATGTTGGCAGTCACTGCGACATTTTTCGTTGCCAATTTTGACTACGCTGAATTGAATTTGGTCAAAATGTTAGTGCGTAATCATTTTGCTAATTAGTTGTTAATATATGCAAATAACAATTGTCAGCATGGTCTAAAAATCATTCATTACAAGTTCTTAGAGATGCCAGCCAACTGCTCAGCTTTTGGCCTTGGTCCACATCTAGTTGACAATTTATATTGTTGTTCTATGGAACAGCTCAAAAACATCAGAGGGACACACTCACTCTTCTTCTTTTCCAGTCTTCCTATTGTTATCTATCTCTCCCTCTCTCTATCTCTCTGTCTCTCTCTTTGTATCGCTCTCTATGCCTGCAGCTGCTGTGTGTGTGTCTTCTTCGTTTTCAGAATGTTTTAAATTGAACAAAAATTTATATGCGCTTTGCACAGACAATTTAATATCGCATCCAATTTGCGGTTTATACGCATCGTAGCAGCGGCCCGCCTGGGCGAAGAAAGAGACAGCAAGAGCAAGGATGTGGTAGAGGGAGAGATGGCTAAGAGGATAGCCTGCTGTTAGCCTGGTTGGTTGGCTGCTTGGCTGGCTACTGGTCGTGCTGATGGTCGGGTTTGAGCGCACAATGGGGCGTATAAGTGACATCGTTAAGTGGACGCAGGACGGCGAGGACGCTGCTTAATGAACTTCAACGGCATCTGCCCCATCCTCATGATCCTCCGTATGTCCTTGTCGGATGTTAGCTGTCGGCATTTTTAAGCGTATTTTTCTTTTGCTCGTTTCGTTTCGTTTCGTTTTTCTTTTTGTTGACTTGCCGTTTGCATTTTCCTTAGCTGAGATGTTTTGCTGCGTAGGCAACGCCGGCGGAGCTGGGCGCTCGTTAGCGCTGCTCGGCATCGCTCCTCTATAATTAACCACAAAATGAGGGGAGATGGCATTCTTAATGAGCAGCTTGTTATGCCATTTTCGTTTTAATTACTTTTAAGATGCTTGTTACCAACACCAGTGCGGCAGTTGGCGAGCCCGGCGCTTTAATTGGTCCATTGATGAAGCTGAGTGTGTGATCTGTATGTGTATGTGTGCATGTCTGTGCATGTCTGTGCATGTCTGTCAGTGTGTGTGTGTATATGTAACACACTGTGCAAATTGGCTGTGCGTTTCGCTCAGTTTACTTAACGGGCCATCGAGCTAAGAAGCTTTGTTTGCCTCGCTGACGATGCGTAGCAAGAAAGTAGACTATTAAATTGATGTTGAAATTGGCAATAATGCGCGTTTACAATGTACGCCATATTTTGCGACAGTGTATTAAGCGCTTTACCCTTTTACATGCAAAATTAAATGATGCGCATACGCACGGTAAAACCGCAAATTATTTTAATTGCCTGTCTCGTCATTATTCATTATTTAAGTACAGCCAAACAGACGACGCACAGTATATGTGTCTGTGTGGGTGTGTATATGTGTGTGTGTGTGTGTGCATTTGTGTGGAGTGCTATGTACAGCACACACTCAAACACACACACACACACACACACCACAGACACAGTCAGTGCGAGTGATTTGGGCAGCCCGCCAGACACACACAAGCCGCTGTTTACATAGACATGAAACTTTTGCGCGAAAAATTGCTGTCGTTTGCCGCATTTGCATGTGTCTGCCAGTCGTTCTCTCTCTCTCTCTCTCTCTCTCTCTCTCTTTTTCAACATTTCTCTCTCTCTCTCTCTGTCCCTCTCACTTTCTCTGCCTGCCACTCGGTATCACTGTCTCTGTCGCTCATTTAATTAGTGAAAATACGTATTAAATGAGCAGCTCTTGTTAAAATAAATAGTGCATGCAATGACAGCAGTTGCCCCTCCTTGGCCAGCACCTTTTGCATTGGTTTTCGACGAGGGACTGCAAAGGGCTGTGATACAGCTTACATACAGCTAATTAAAGGGCGGACGAGCATAAGGAAAATCGATAATCGGCTAAAAGCCGCTGACCTCGCGACAAGCACTGTTCGAAAAATAACAATTGCGGTCAGCTATGTAATTATGCGCTAATTAAATTATTTTCCATTTAAATCGCCACAATGCGTAATGCGTATTTTCTGTTATTTTTTTCTCGTCATTTTCACGCGCCTAAGTTGTGCGATTTTGTTGAATGTGAATGTATGTGAATATTTGTATATTTAATGATGTGCAATGGCCAGGTGCGAGCGAGATGCCATACGCTCAATGGCATTTCTCTCTGTCTCGCTCTCTCCTTCAGTTTCTCTCTGTTTATTCGGCCATTTTGTTGTTTGCACTCCACTTTTCGTGCGCCCCACGTTAATTTGTTTGACTAATTAAACTAATGAGCGTTCAAAGTTAATACATAAATTAGTCAGCCATTCAAGTCCAAGCCATCCAACGGTATGAGGCAGCTGATTGAGTCGGGGGATTGGGGGTGGTTCAACAGTCAGGAGCAGCTGTGTTTGACTAAGCTTATTGCAATTTTGATTGTGGTTTTCCAATTAATTGCCAATGGCTTTCTGGCAAAGGGATTTATGAATTTGATTGCTTTCAAATTTGCCAAATATGTGTAATGCACATTTCGAATAATAGATGCAATTATTTTGTTGTGTGTGCAATTTAAAACTAATAATTCAATTGTGTTCAATTTTTAGATCTAATTATAATTATTAAATATATTATGTATTTAACAAATTATGTGAATCTGCCAATATTATATATTAATATTAAAAAACATATTTTACTTTCACTCTTTTGAGGATTATTTTTTTTAATGATTTTTTTCATATTTTTTTGAGGAATATAGGATTGTTAAATAGTATTTATGCATCTATCAAGCTCGTCTGCTCGTTCGTTCTGAGCGAAGATCTTTGCTGCTTTTGGAGGCTTTTGCATGCAAATTAAATATGCTGCGCTAATTCCTCCATCAATTTGCAGCTCATTTCATATGCCAACGCATTTGGGTCTGGGTCTGAGCCTGGGCCTGCTACTCGTACGTGCGAAAACTACGAAACGCTGCGCAGATTGCCGCCGGCCAGCAGAATGTTGGTCGACAGAACTGATTTGCTGGACTAAAACTAGTTTGCATTCAGTTTGTAATTAGAAAATTTCTATGCAGCACAAGGTGCGCGAAACTGGTGAAATGAAAACAAAAACAGAAACGTGCTAATTGCAAATTAATTATGCACGATATTGAATTTGCACTAAACGCAAAGCGGAAGTGCTATCCAACTGCCCAGCAGGCAAAATGGCGAGCAAAGCGAGTGTAATAAAAAAAAAGGCGCTAAGTGGCCTCGACGACGTGATTTGCATGAAATGCAATTAGATTTTAGGCAAATGAATGCCTGGTTTCATGTTGCTGTTGTTGCTGTTGTTTGTGGGTGGTGCGCTAATGGCTGACACACTTAAGCAACAACAACAGCAATAACAATACCAAGCGCTTGCGCTGTCGCTGTCGCTGTCGCTATACCTAAAGCAGCAGCAGAAGTAGAAGCTGTAGCAGAGGCAACAACAGCAACGGCAGCAGCGGCAGCAGCAGCAGCAAAGGAGAAGGCAGGAGCATATAAACAGCTAAAGTGTTAATTGCCATAAATGCTTGTCATTGTAGCGGTAAACGACAGTAGATATCCACGCCACGTAGCCAGTGCGCCAGCGCCCACACACACACACACACACACATACACTGGCATACACACAGAGCGAGACGCGCTTTGCTTGAAACTGAGCAGCGCACATCTGAGCATTGCACTCAAATGAATGAAATGAACTGCTAAATTATGCACCCGATTTAACCCTCATTTGGCTGGCCACACTGCCTTCCCCCCCATGCCACCGCAATCCCGCTTGTAGCGCTCACGACGCAGCCGCTCTGCTTATTGCTCTCAGCTGGTCGAGTTCACTCAACGACTACTGGCATTGGCCACGCCTCCAGTCTCTGCCCGCAGTAACAGCCAATGAGCGTCGCGCGGTTGACTGCAAAGTAATGCGCTCATAATTGAGAGAGACGCAGTGCGCTCTTTCTTTGTCAAGCGACTTTTTCCAATATGGCCGCCAGCCGCGCTCACTCACTCA